TAAGTGTAGTTGGGCAAGAGAGACTATAACCTATCTTGGGCATGAAGTAGGACAAGGTAAGATAATTCCTTTACAAAATAAGATACAAGCCATTGTGGACTACCCAGTGTTAACCAGTAAGAAGGGAGTCCAAAGATTTATCGGCATGTGTGCTTATTATAGGCAGTAATGTAGAAATTTTTCGACAGTTGCTGCCCCATTGACAAATTTGTTGCGAAAGCAAGTAAAGTTTAAGTGGACTCAAGATTGCCAGAATTCATTTCAGAACCTAAAGGGCATATTGTCAACGTCACCTGTTCTTGCTAATCCCCAATTCGCAAACCTTCTATTTTACATATTGATGCATCAGATGTTGGAATAGGTGCTGTGCTTATACAAGTTGGTCTAGATAATATTGAGCATCCTGTATATTATTACTCTAGAAAATTTAATTCAGCCCAGAAGAACTATTCAATGGTAGAAAAGGAGGCGTTGAGTCTCATATTGTCAATCAAGAAATTTTTAGATTTACCTTTCAGGAAATAAGGTGCTAGTGTTTACTGACCACAATCCCCTTACATTCATTAAAATGATGAAAATGACCAGCGCAGAACCAACGAATTCTGCGCTGGTCATTGTTTCTACAAGAATTTAATGTAGAGATTAAACATATTCCGGGCAGGCAGAATGTCATTGCTGATGCTTTGTCCAGAAGTTTTGTATATGATGTACCATGAGTGAAATATTCTTTTACTTAACATTTTTACTTCAGAAAAAATGCCATTGATCTTCAATCCATTGCATTTTTTTTCTTGGAGGTGGAAGTGTTACGTACCCCCTATTGGATATGTATATAAATAATAAATAATTACTTATTCCATGCATCATTACTTGTATGTGCTTATATATTATATCATTAATTGTATGTGTATTATATCATTACTTGTATGCTTATATCATTACTTGTATGTGCTGATATGTTATTGTCGTAATGATCATCTGGTGGACCACACTGTGGGAAACCGTTATATTTTTTTGTGTGGTGGTCAGCTAGTCAGCTTTACCGTGAGAATGTTATATTTTGTACTGATCATCTAGTGGCAAAACCGTGAGAAACCGTTTTAGTTGTTCCTCTAGTCGGCAATACCGTGGGACACATTACCTTCCTGCTATGTTGGGCAGTTGCCAGCAATTTCCTTTTACTTTATAAATATAACTGTATTATTAATAACTACATTACATTAATAACTACATTACTACATTTTATGCATGTAAATCTGATCATTCTTTAATTAAGTTAATTAATGATTACCTTATTCCCATTTTATGGCTCCATTTAAGTAAAATTTATATTAATTAAAAACTCATTCAATATGTTGTGAGGAAGCGAGATCGGTTCCCGCCGTGAGAAAATTCTTCAGTAACTGTTTAGACTCAGGGAGGATCACATCTAGGAGTTAAGTGGCTGTTATATATATCTATTCTGTTCTGTTGTAGTATGTTAGTCTGTGGAGGCATAATTTTATTTTAATTTACATGTGATTGCCCATCTGTTGATTGTTATATAATACTGATAATTAACTGAAATATCACTTTAATACACAGTTATTTTTATATGTATGATTAATTATTCCTAGGGGGGTGATTAATTTTAATTCTTGCCTGTACAAACCATGGGATTATACTAGTGACACACCTTGAGATTACAGCATCGGTAAATGTCCCTAGACGACAATATTTTGTTGCTGTTACGTGTCACGAGCATTAATGTACGGTTTGTAACAGGACTCAGGTCAGAATGGCCTGTCGGCAAGATCGTCGACTTCCACCCAGATCGTCAAGGTGTCCTACAAATAGTAAAGGCTTTGTGTCGAGGGACTACTACCTTGAAAACATTGGAGAAGTTGGTATCTCTAGAATTAGCCGAGCATATGAAAGCTCAGACGAATCTGCTTCACCACCATTTTCTGAAATTAAGTCTACTGTTCAACAGAGTACACGACCATCCAGAGTCGCTGCTCTGCAGTGTAAATTGAGACTTCAACAACATTTTAATTCTGAGTAATTACAGTTGGTTAAACATTCGATTTTGAGTCGATTGCGATGATACAGATGGGTTGATGTTCAGTAACTCACCAGTTACAAGTCACTGTGACCCCTGTCTATTTAGCTCACTATGGATTTGAAGTCGTCTGGATTTTGAACGACTTCATAAGATTAAATTTATGATTTATTTGTGTAGTCGTGCGGAGCACAGGCTATACATTACTATCATCTACTCTTGAAACCGGTCTGAGTTTTCACAAGTACTCTGTGACTGAGTAATTTAATATTTACATGTCATAAAGACACAAGTCATAGATTTGATGTAGACTTAAACAGTGCCTGTTTTAGATTATGTAATACTTTAATGGTATTATATTTAATTCATATCATGAAGACTTAGAGTCTTACCTGCTGCAACAGAGTCGGGACAGCCGTTATGTGCGTGCTAACGTACAAACTTACTAACCTTGTAATATAATTTCATGGTGGGGAAAGGTACGTCAGTACTCAGCATTGGACTGCCGAAACCCGAAATTCCCCCTCCCCCCAGGATTTGTGTTGGAAATAACCAACAGTTTTTTTTCCCTTAACTCCTAATATTAACATTTACTAATAACACTAACACGTAGAATTAATATCGTTGGTGTTTCTATAGTAAGGCATAATTTGCCAAGAAAATTCCCAGTCCTCATGACGCCGAGCGTCGATAGCAGGCTGAAACATGAAATCTTCCACGTTTGTTGGAAATTTATTGAGTTCAGTAGTTCTTTCTCTCTCAAATATTGTTCATTATAGAAGAAATAATAGTTTTGCATCCTTATGCGTACTAAACTCGACCATTTAACCAAATTAAGTATCACAGTAAAAATTGCTACAACATGAAATTAATTACACGTCGATACTTCTCATTGAATTTGTGCAGTGTTATTTAAATCGACTGCCTTGCGAGAAGAGATATTATGATTCAATATATGTATTTGTGACGCTCGTTTAAGTTGTACTTCCTTATTTCGCTAAATAATGATTAGTAAATCAAATTAGTTTAAGCTCGAGATCGCTATGAGCGTCTCTGCGCATGCGCGTACAAGCAGGAAGGAGAGAGGAAGGCGTCTTTCTGCCACCGATTCCGCCACGAGCACATGCAGATTTGCAAGCGGTAGCCATTGCAGATATAACACGTGGTCGAACAGTGCTAATAATACTGTTAATAATTCTCACGTCTGAGAATACAATTACGTCCTGATATTAGACCTTCAATAGCAGTGAACGTCAGGGACTAACAGACGTGATATCGGCGAGCTTAATTAAATGTTTCAACGGCCCTACGTTAAGTATATTTTATATAGAGTGCACTTTATCATAAATTATTACTGTAGGTTGCTCACCGTTATGTCATCTACCGACCACAAAACCCACATTAGTTTCTTTTCATGCTGTTCCCGATTTTTCAGTGAATAGTGGAATAAATTTCTAGCCTAGTCAATTTCTATAAAATTTCTGTGATTGCAGCGTGTTGGTGAGGACAAGCAGAGAAATTCTTCCTCTATATGCAATTTCCCCTGTCGGTGTTTCATCCACGTCTACGAGTATTCGAATTGCAAAACGGGTTGATTGAGGTCTTCCTACAGGTAAGCCCCTCCATTCGTTATATCGTAGATAATAGAGTTGCTATGATTAATTCTAATATTATTTCTGGTATATGTATTCTGCTTAAAATATGCATATAATAATCCAAGAGAAACTACATAAATTTAATACATTTATTGCTTAGTGTGTTTAAATTTTCACACACATAAATTTCTATGATTTACTAATATTTCATAGGCTTGATTATTTTAAGATAGTATCATCATATATGAATCTGCATTTAATTTCTGAAATATAATATTTAATGTTTTAATTAACCAACTGGTGACGAACCAGCACCAGTCATTATCCTAAATATATATTAATTTCTAGAAATACCCCCTCCCCCAAATGTTGAAGTTAGGATTTTAACTCTCAATTCATCATTATCACAGTCCTTTCATGCTTTACAAAATAATCTCCAAATAATTTATCATTCATAGGCACTGGTATTTCAGTGTCAGTTTTATGTTTCCCTTTATTAGTTTTCCCTCTTTTCTCAAAAGTGGGTGGTCCTTCGAGTTTATCGATTTCTTAATTAAATATTATTATATTTGAGATAAAGTTCCCAATATCCAACACTGGTCCATCATAGTGTGCATTGCCCATGTAAGTCTCTGGTCCATCATACTGTGCATTGTCCATGTATGTCTCTAGTTTATCATACTGTGCATTGTCCAGGTAAGTCTCTTGTCCATCATACTGTGCATTGTCCATGTATGTCTATAGTCCATCATACTGTGCATTGTCCAGGTAAGTCTCTAGTCCATCATAATGTGCATTGTCCAGGTAAGTCTCTTGTCCATCACACTGTGCATTGCCCATGTAAGTATCTGGTCCATCATACTGTGCATTGTCCATGTATGTCTCTAGTCCATCATACTGTGCATTGTCCATGTAAGTCTCTGGTCCATCATTCTGTGCATTACCCATGTAAGTCTCTGGTCCATCATTCTGTGCATTACCCATGTAAGTCTCTGGTCCATCATTCTGTGCATTACCCATGTAAGTCTCTGGTCCATCATTCTGTGCATTGTCCATGTCTCTGGTCCATCATACCGTGCATTGTCCATGTCTCTGGTCCATCATACTGTGCATTGTCCATGAAAGTCTCTGGTCCATCGTACTGTGCATTACCCACGTACGTCTATCGTCCAACATACTGTGCATTACCCATGTAAGTCTCTGGTCTATCATACTGTGCATTGTCCATGTCTCTGGTCCATCATACCGTGCATTGTCCATGTAAGTCTCTGGTCCATCATACTGTGCATTACCCATATAAGTCTCTGGTCCATCATACTGTGCATTACCCATTCAAGTCTCTGGTCCATCATACTGTGCATTACCTATGTAAGTCTCAGGTCCATCATACTGTGCATTGTCCATGAAAGTCTCTGGTCCATCATACTGTGCATTACCCATGTAAGTCTGTCGTCCAACATACTGTGCTTTACCCATGTAAGTCTCTGGTCCATCATACTGTGCATTGTCCATGACTCTGGTCCATCATACTGTGCATTACCCATGTAAGTCTGTCGTCCAACGTACTGTGCATTACCCATGTAAGTCTCTGGTCCATCATTCTGTGCATTGTCCATGTAAGTCTCTCGTCCATCATAATGTGATTTACCCATGTAAGTCTCTGGTCCATTAAACTGTGCATTGTCCATGTAAGTCTCCGGTCCATCATTCTGTGCATTGTCCATGTAAGTCTCTGGTCCATCATACTGTGCATTACCCATGTAGGTATCTGGTCCATCATACTGTGCATTGTCCATGTAAGTCTCTGGTCCATCATACTGTGCATTACCCATGTAGGTATCTGGTCCATCATACTGTGCATTGTCCATGTAAGTCTCCGGTCCATCATACTGTGCATTGCCCATGTAAGTCTTTGTTCCTTCGTACTGTGCATTGCTCATGTAAGTCTCTGGTCCATCATACTGTGCATTACCCGTGTAAGTCTCAGGTCCATCATACTGTTCATTTCTCATGAAAGTCTCCAGTCCATCATATTATGAATTGTCCATATAAGTGTCCGGTCCATCATACTGTGAATTACCCATGTAAGTCTCTGGTCCATCGAACTGGGCATGGACCATGAAAGTCTCAGTTCCATCGTACTGTGCAATGCCCATGTAAGTCTCCAGTCCATCATTCTGTACATTGCCTATGTAAGTCTCTGGTACATCATACTGTGCATTGCCCATGTAAGTCTCTGGTCTATCATACTGTGCATTGTCCATGTAAGTGTCAGGTCCATCTTACTCTGCATTGTCCATGTCTCTGGTCCATCATGGTTTGCATTGTCCATGTAAGTCTTTGGTCCATCATACTCTGCATTGTCCATGTAAGTCTCTGATCCATCATTCTTTGCACTACCCATGTAGGTACCTGGTCCATCATTCCGTGCATTGTCCATGTAAGTCTCGGGCCCATCATACTGTGCGTTACCCATGTAAGTCTCTGGTCCATCATACTGTGCATTACCCATGTAAGTCTCTAGTCCATCATACTGTGCATTGTCCATGTCTCGGCCATGCATTGCTGTGGCCCAGCAATACATGCTGAGCCAGAGCAACTCTCCCCTATTCCACCGACCTCCACACCAGTCCACCCTCCTCTGTCCCCTCGTCCTCCCCACCATCCCCCACTCCCCTGTCCCTTTGTCCTCCCCACAATTCTCCACATCCCAGTCTTCTCGTCCCCACCATCCCCCACTCCTCAGTCCCCCTCGTCCTCCCCACTATTACTCCCACCCAATCCCCTGATCCTCCCCATCATCCCCCTACTCCCGTCACCTTATCCTCACCATTCTCCACTCCCTCGTCCTATGCATTCCTAAATGATCCGATTTTCCCATCAGAAAATGGGATCATCAAATGATTTGATGTTCCCATCACTGAAAAATAAAAAGGACAGGAAAAAAAACTACATGAAAACAATGAAAAAAAAAATAACTAAACTCACGAATTGAAGGGTTGGTAAATAACACAGCTCAATTCCAATGCAATGTCACACAAAATAAATAAATTTAAATGAAAATAAGTCAAAATCTATGAAAATTCAATTTATCAATGCAATCAGAAACATTGATATGGAATCGTAACATATTTAGTATGGCGTGTGTGGCTTTTCCGTGCAACAGATTGTGCTGTTTAAAAAAAAAAGGATTTACCTGTCACAGGTAAAAACACGTGCATATTTGAGTGGAACGTTGAATCAACATTTCAAAGTAATTGTTGAAGAACATTCAAAGTATAAGAAAAGCAGTTAAAAAACGAAATGAAAAACAATGAAAAAATTAAAAAATAAAGTATACTCATAAAATGAATGGTATGGTAAAAGACACAGCTCAATTTGTACGCAATGTAAAATGAAAATATATTGATATCTATGAAAATTCCATTTGTCAATGCAATCGGAAACATTAAAATGGAATCATAATACATTTAATACAGCGTGTGTTACTCTTACATGCAACAGATGGCACTATTTCTAAAAAAAGAAAAAAAATGTTTTACCTGTCACAGGTTTGGCATCTATACTTATACTTACGAAATGAACAGTATGGTAAACAACACAGCTCAATTTCAACGTAATATCACACAAAATATTCCATTCTCCATCTCCATTCCCCAATTCCTCCATTCCCCCATCCTCTCGTCCCCACCATCCCAAACTTCCCTGTCCCCTCATCTTTGCCCACCATTACCCCCTCCCTTGTCCCCTGGTCATCCCCACCATTCCCTACTCCCATGTCCAATGCCTTCCCAAATGGTCTGATATTCCCATTAGAAAATTGGGAACATCAAGTGTTCTGATGTTCCCATCACTGAAATATAATAAAACAGTTAAAAAATTAAATGAAAATATGAAAAAAAAAATATAAAAATAAACTTTAATCATGAAATGAACCGTATGGTAAACAACACTGCTCATTTCCAACGCAATTCACACAAAATAATTAAATCAAAATGAAAATAACTCAAAATCTATGAAAATTCAATTCATCAATGCAATCAGAAACATTGAAATGGAATTGTAACATATCTAGTAAAGCGTGTGTTTTGCTCTTACATGCAACAGATGGCGCTGTTTTTCAAGAAAAGCATAGTTTTACCTGTCACAGATGTAGCATCTATACTTATACTTACGATATGAACGGTATGGTAAACAACACAGATCAATTCCAACACAATGTTACACAAAATAATTCACTAAAAATAAAATAAATCAAATTCTATGAAAATAAAATTTATCAATGCAATCGGAAACATTGAAATGGAATTCGTGACATATTTAGTATAGCATGCATGTTGCCGGAACGTGCAACAGATGGCGCTGTTTTTCAAAAACGCATGTTTTTACCTGTCTCAGGGGTGGCATCTATATAGTAGGCATATAAAAAGACGCACCTATTCGAATGCAACGTTGTGTCAAAATTTCAAAGCAATGGTGAAAAACTTTCAGAGATTACAGCGTGTGTTGCTCTCATTTCCAACAGATGGTGCTGTTTTAAAAGAAAAAAAACATGTTTTTTTCCTTTCACAGGTAAGGCATGTATAGCAGGAATATACGCGCCTGTTTGAATGCAACGTTGTGTCAAAATTTCAAAGCAATCGGTAAAGAGGTTTCGAAGATTTTGCTCACATAAAAAACACCTGAGAAACAAGTTTTTTTTTTAAATAAAAAGCATGTTTTTTTTTTTACCGTGTGACGATAAAGCGTTGGTGTTCGGCTGTTTCAAAAGCTAGGGGCAGGGCCTCGTCACATTACAGAAAAAAAAGAAAAAGCTCGAACTTTCGTCTGTGGTAAGGTAATGGGAAGACACACAAAACAAAAGTAAATTAACAATGGAATTTTAATTACTTTAGAAAAACAAGACATGAATAAAGTTAAGCACATAAAATATAAAAGACAAGTCAAAAAACAAACTAATATGAATAATCACTGGCAAATGAAAAGTTATGTTAAGACAAGTGAGTTACAGTGATTGCAAAATAATTATGAATGGAGCTGGAATATTGGCTTCGAGCTGCCACCTCCCTTAGTACACGAAAGCCAAGGCTTAGTCTACCAGCGAGAGATGTCAACTGCAAGGAGCACTGAGATATTCTGACAATACTGGGCCACTGCAGCCCAGACATCAACTTGTGGCGGAGGGCGGAGGGCAGGTGCGACGGGACACCAGCCAATCAGCGACAGGCAGGCAAAGGACAAGCAGTTTGCTGATTATGGTGGCGGTAGCTAGCAGGTGGCACTGTGTGCTGGGTACGATTTGCTCTCTGGGCAAAACGTTTGGCGATACTGCTGGACGTATCTTCAATATTATCTTTTGTTTTTACGTACTTTGTAGGGAAGAGCAGGCTCAATCTCTCTTGAAGGAGATTATCGTCACAGACGCTACAATCTGTATAATATGTAAATAAAAACATGCTCGGATGAGAATTGAACGTTGTGTGAAAATTTCAAAGCAATCGGTGAAGAACTTTCGGAGATAGCGATTTTGAGCAAATGAACATTTCCATTTTTATTTATATAGACTAGCAGTACCCGGCCACGTGTTGCTGTGGCTCAGCAACCTTCCCTGTCCCCCAGTCCTCCCCCCCGTTTCCCTCTCACCCATCGCCTCGGCTTCCTTACCATTCCCCACTCAACCGTCCCCTCGTCCTCCCCACCATTCCCCACTCCACTATCCCCTCTTCCTTCCCACCATGCCCCACTCCTCTGCCCCTTTGTCCTCCCCACCATTCTCCATTCCCCACTCCCTTGTCCGATGCCTTCCCAAATGGTCTGATCTTCCCATAAGAAAATTGGGAACATCAATTGATCTGATGTTCCCATCTCTGAAATATAAGAAAAACAGTTAAAAATGAAATGAAAATATGAAAAAATATAAATATAAACTTTACTCACAAAATGAATGGTATGGTAAACAACACAGCTCATTTCCAACATAATATCTACAAAATAATTAAATCACAATGAAAATAAATTAAAATCTATGAAAATTCAATTTATAAATGCAATCAGAAACTTTGAAATGGAATTGTAACATATTTAGTATAGCATGTGTGTTTCTCTTACATGCAACAGATGGCATTGTTTTTCAAGAAAAGCATAGTCTTACCTGTCACAGGTGTGGCATCTATACTTATACTTACGAAATGAACTTTTTGGTAAACAACACAACTCAATTCCAACACAATGTCACACAAAAAAATTTACTAAAAAATAAAATAAATCAAAATCTATGAAAATAAAATTTATCAATGCAATCGGAAACATTGGAATGGAATTCGTGACAAATTTATTATAGCGTGCATGTTGCCATTATGTGCAACAGATGGTGCTGTTTTCCAAAAATGCATGTTTTTACCTGTCACAGGGATGGCATCAATATAGTAGGTATATAAAAAGATTTATGAATCTTATGAACTCATAAGACTCTTATGAATCATTTTGTCCAAAAACGGAAGAGTACCATTCTCCTCATTCTCACAAGTGAATTTTATTCACTTTAATAAAATGAATAAAATTTTTAATAAAATTCACTTGTGAGACTGAGGAGAATGGTACTCTTCCGTTTTTGGACATTATGATTCATAGAGTCACTAGAAAGCTCAAATTTAATGTGTATAGGTACCCTACCAACGTGGGGTCGTATGTTCATTTTTATTCAAATCATCATAGTAAAGTTAAAGAGGCAGTATTTTCAGGAATGTTTCTACAAGCTTTGAGGGTTTGCAGCCCTGAATTTTTTGATGAAGAGATTGCTAAAATATATGAAATTGGAAAGAGTTTACAATATCCTAAGATGTTTTTGAATTGCTCGATCGAACAAGCCAAGCGTACGTTTTATAATCACGTCCCCAAAGCGTAACCAGAAATTAGTAACTCATTGGTGGTACCTTATGCGAGTAGACTTGAAAAACTGTCTCCGGGTTTTAAGAAACTTAATATCAATTTGGTATTCACTAATAATACTATC